AAAAATGATGTTTATTAAAAAGGAATTATTGTTAAGCTTTGATTCCAAACAGTAAATACTAATTGATTTCGGCGTATTCAAACGGAAACGGAGAAAAAAAAAGCCTAATCAAACGAGGCCTAATATTTTTAAAAGTGTTTATTAATACTTGAAAGTAATTTTAAATTGTTTGTTTAGGAGTTTTTCTTTTGAGATTTTATTAATACTTGAAAGTAATTTTAAATTGTTTGTTTAGGAGTTCTGCTTTTGAGATTTTATTATTTAATACTTGAAAGTAATTTTAAATCAGTAATTCGTTTCCAAAACTCCGTTTTGTGACCGAAGAAGCAGATACGAAAAGAATTTTGTAACCGCCGAAAAAACGATGTTTATTAAAAAGGAATTATTGTTAAGCTTTGATTCCAAACAGTAAATACTAATTGATTTCGGCGTATTCAAACGGAAACGGAGAAAAAAAAAGCCTAATCAAACGAGGCCTAATATTTTTAAAAGTGCTTATTAATACTTGAAAGTAATTTTAAATTGTTTGTTTAGGAGTTCTGCTTTGAGATTTTATTATTTAATACTTGAAAGTAATTTTAAATCAGTAATTCGTTTCCAAAACTCCGTTTTGTGACCGAAGAAGCACATACGAAAAGAATTTTGTAACCGCCGAAAAAACGATGTTTATTAAAAAGAAATTATTGTTAAGCTTTGATTCAAAACAGTAAATACTAATTGATTTCGGCGTATTCAAACGGAAACGGAGAAAAAAAGCCTTATCAAACGAGGCTGAAAGCTCTGTTACACGCGAAGCAGCCAAAGCCGAAAGCAGGAGGAGGGGAGAATACGAAAATCAACCCATAAGCAGTATAATTTATAATTAGGTCATTATAATTTATAGGATAATTAATAATTAAGGAGATGGGATATGTCATATGTGACATTAAAAGTAAAGGTTAAATTTCAAAAGTCTCACAATTATTAGAATATGTTTATTTTAATTTTAGAGTATAATATTGCATCAATTCCATCTCTTGCCTATATAAATTTGATTTAAAATAATTCTTTGGGATTAAATTAAAATTAATTTTATATCGCATTTACAATATGATTGACTATTTTGAATTAATTTTATAAAGTCTAAAAGCTAAGGTTTCATTTGGGACGGTTTTCTTATTATTTTTCAAAGGAACTTGTTAGTAAAAAAAATTTACTTTTTTACTAAAACACTGTTTTAAGATGCACCAAAAAAATTGTCCCATTTGATGCTTCTTTTTTGTAAAAAATTAAAAATTTTGTACTAAAAAATTGCTTTAAGAAGTCAAAAAAAAGTAATCCTAAATAAAATCTAAATTGAGACAACGTGATACTAAAGGGTTTAAAATCTCCGATGTGCTTATTGCCAAAGATGTTGGCGTGGATCCTAAATGCAGTTTTGTTACCTCTTATGTAGCTTCATTGCCTTGCCATTGCAATCCTTGGAGGGCCTCTTTGGCAACCCAAAAGGCACAATTATCTCTACTTTGAAGCTTATGATGTCTTGTTTGGATGAGTCATGGGTGCCCTAAGTCTAGTTTTCGGGCCTTCAACGTCTTTCTTGGGAATTTTAATTCTGTGCAGAGTCCGAAGCATCTGGAAACCAATTAAAATATGCCACATCATCTCAAAAATATACCGCGCTCGGTACCGCTTGGTACCGAACACATAACCGGACTGAAGATTCGTCTGGTGTCCGCACAGAATAATAGCTACTTTCTTGAGAAATTATAGTTTTTATTGTCTTTGATTTTTTATTTTTTTTTTGTTATGTGAATTTTATTATAGCAGCTGTTTTTTCCCTTCATACTTTTTGAGATGCATACACAAGTCCTCTTTTCTAACTTTTGCTCATTAACGAAAATGGCTAAGGCCTAAAATTATCCTCCAAAAAATATAATTAATAATTAAAATTTCATTAAATAACATTTTAACAATTAACTAAATTATAATAAAGAAAAAATAAGTAGTATAAGTAAATAGTTAATTATTTCAAATAATATTTAAATTAATACACAAAAGGATTGACATATTAAAATAATAATTAATTATGTTACACTCGACTCATTTGTTTCATATTTATCAAGAAATCACCATTTTATTCATTATATGAGTCAATTGGAGTTTGTTTATTACTTCTATATGAAATCCAAGTTGGAGTGAAATAAAAGAAGATTTCAATCAAATTATTTTATAGAAAATTGAGGATCACCAAAACAAAGTGACAATAGTATTTCAAATGCAAAAGAAGCAATTTTGCAAGTAAGGATGTGGAAAAGCTCTTTATAAAAAGCTATTGCTAGTAAAGCTTAGGGTTCGTTTGGAACGGCTTTTTTATTGCTTTCTAAAACGGAGTTTTAGTATAATTTTTTTAATTTTTATACTAAAACTCCGTTTTAGAAAGCAATAAAAAAGTCGTCCCAAACGAAGCCTTAATCTTACTGCTTCTTAAAGCAGATCTGCTTTAAAAAACAATTAGAAAGTCACTTTAGTCTTCGTTTGGGATGGCTTTCTTCGTATTTCTTAAAGCGACTTTTTAATATAAAATTTAAAATTTTTATACTAAAAAATCATTATAAGAAATAGAAAGAAAGACGTCCCAAACAAAATCTTAAACAAAGCCTAAAACTTCTTTTGAAATAACTTTTTATTGCTTCTTTTCCTGTTACGTTTTTTCAACTTTCAAAAAAATTTGTGATAAAAAACTATCTATATCAATTTTTAATAAATCATTTTCTTCGTAACAGCCTTATAAATATTAATAATTATGATAGACTATGACTTCATTTGGGACGGCTTTTTTATTGCTTTCTAAAACAGAGTTTTAATAAAAAAATTTTTATTTTTTTATTAAAGCTCCGTTTTAAAAAGCAGTAAAAAAACCGTCCCAAACGAAGCCTATATCAATCCCAAACGGATACTAAAAGTATTTTTTACATTTTAATGCTTTGATAAATGATTACTCATTTTTCCTTCAGAAGCACAAATTATTATTTAAAATCAAGATGATTGTTTTCATTTATCATCTAAGACACTCTTAATGATGGGTTTTTCTTATAATTAATTTGCATGATTTGAGGGTTTTCTTATAATTAATTTATTAAATCACAATAAATCACAAACATGATAAAATAAATATCATACAAACTGAATAATTATTGGGTTTGAAAAAAAAAAGAAAGAAATTGACATGAATTTATCTAGTTCTATTAAGGCAAGGTGAAAAACTTCAAAACCTCTTGCCCTGGCACCACATTTCTGGTCATCATGGAAGAACATTCAACAAAAACCAAGCACAGATCATTGTGACAGTTATTGAATATTTTTTGTATGATTTGCAACAAATTGCAAATCTGCAAAACTTTGAGAAGCAATTGGTCCCCATTCAGTTCAGTGGAAGTAGCCATAGAGCTCAATGAAGCAGATGCAGAGGTTCCAGTTATTGGATTCACCACTTGTTGGGGCTGCTAGAATGATTCTGAAGAACCTGAAGGGGAGAAGTGAGTTGGGGCCAAGCACAGGCCATGAAGCAAACTGACCTGGTCTGCAGACTGTATGATCATTCTCATGAACTCGAAGATTGGTCCAGTTCTCTCCATCCATGGAACCCTGATTGACGATGTTAATGATGGTATTAGTTCCATATGCATGAGTAGGGAAGAATCCTAATACTTACTAGATAATTGTTCGAGTTTTTACTTACTAGATAATTGTTCGAGTTTTAAATGTTATTGGTTCAAACGGAAGATTGGTAGCTTCAAAGTAGTTTGATTAGATTCGACTCAGCATATGTATATTTACCCTAAACTGCACAACAGAGCCCTGTATTATGTACCCATACTAACACCCACCCATGTACCCAACCATACACTCATGGCCTTATGGGTGGTTATGGGTGGGTACTCAACATCGGGGGATAAATTGATTTATATTGCTAATCACTGTATATCTTATATTACAGCAATCCTCACTACGTAGTGTGTAATACTTAAACCACACTGCGCCTACGGTGAATTTTGATATGTGGCTTGAAAGTTTACAATTATAGCAAAGGGCAAAAAAACCTCAAGGTCATTAGTCCATGACAGATTGCATTCAAAAAGCATGGAAAGTGTGTGGGTATAGGTGGGTATGACATCCTGAGAGTCACCATGGGTGGACGAAGCCCGTATGAGTGAAGCATGGGTACCCAACCAGGACCTCATATAGAACTTTGGTGCACAGACATTCATATGTGTACCTACAAAATACTCTATGTTTCATGGAAGGAGCAGAAGTACCTGGAAGGCCCACGACCGCGGAAAATTTGTGGAGCCATCATGCCTGAAGGTGTAATAGTTGCACATAAGCTGTAGTAATTGAAACAAATTAAGTAGGTGAGTTCCCCATTTAAGTAGCTGCAATTTGCAATCATGTTCATGTAGCATTTTATAACAAAAACAGTCATCTGGATAGAAAAGAGTGTTAAAAAACTAAGCTGGCCATCGACAAATGAATGTGGGATGGCCATATCCATATTTACATCCTAAAAATGCACGAGTAAAATCACTTAACAAAGCAATCAACTTGCCATACTTCAAGACTCGGCTTAAATTGGTTGTCTAGATAAGAAGTGACTCATTCTTGTAAAGATGAGAAAAATAAATGAAAGCCCAAAAAAGTACTATTTATAGCACATTAATCAGGAAAATGATACTGGAAACTCAATTTTGGAGCTTATGAGTAAGGTTACAAACCATTCAAATAAGGAAATAAACTTTGACAACTGTAGGCAAGTTATTCTAAGTGAACTGAAGATATAAAAATGAGCTGGTCCAACGTTTTAAAACAAAATGCCGTTATTAATTTTTTTCGTGAGGGGGACATTTAGGTCAATTAAGACAAGCTCAAACACATATCACATACACAAGACTCTAACTCAAGACCTCTTGGTTGATAGCCAAAGCTCCCATCAACAGACAAAGGTGAGTTGCACGTCAAAAGCCCATAAAATTATGTCGAAAAAGGTTTAAAAGTATGAACAATCTGAATAGCTGCTTCTTCATCAGTTCATAATAATCAACACCCAAGGAGCTAATTCATAGCTGCGTGAGTACCAAATATAGCAAAAAAAATTTAAACTATAATTTCTCTATTTAACTTCAATAAAATGTTATCTTCTTACAGCAGACCAACTTCTTAGAATTTATGAAGCGAATCAATTGGAAGGACGTAAGTTAAGAACCTGATTCAAATAACTAAGAATAAATAACTGGAAAAAAAAACAAGCTAAAACAGAAACTTTGGGATATACCAACTAACAAAGATATAAGAAAGGTCTTAACAATCAAACATTCTAATCAAATCCATCAGGGTAACTTAGCTTTCTAAACAGAAGTCAGGTAAACTATAACAACCAGTTCTGAGAATAATAAAGTGGCTGGCATATCTTTTCAAGGAGAGGTGAAACAGCATAGTCATATTGTAGTTAACTAGATTTCCCCAATAATTTCTCACCTTCTCATCAAAGATGGCCAACCACTTTATGATTTTCTTCAGTAAAATAATAAACTAATTTCTAAAACTAGTAATCAAACTAGGGTTAATAGTGATCAACAAGGCATTTCCAACTTGCTTTTTACTGAAGTGGGAACATTTTCAATTGTACATCTAAATCTAAGGATTGTTTTTTTTCATGAATTTACTGCAACAGATCATGACATGCCAGATAACTTCTTATGCGTGCAACCACCTCAAAATGCAATAAAAATCACTTAATGTACCATATGCATTTAACTTGTGAGAAAGCAGTAGTTTTTGTTTCAAATAAAATCTTACACTTACTCTACTTTTTTAAGCATTAATTTAGTATCACTTTTTGGTCTTGTGGCATAAATACCATCGAATCCTCCTAACAATGATAACATTTGGTTTTTCCAAGTAACAATATTTGTTTTCTACATGCTCACAGGTAAGGCGTAAATGAGTTAAGTCGAGCCAAAAATCTACCTAATTGAGCTAAGCTTATTTAATTCTTACTGAGCTCGAGCTCAACTAGAGCTAATTTACTAAACTCGAGCTCATTGAAAAAATTATAGGCTCGAGCTCAGCTTGATTGCTCTAGCTTGACATGATTGTTGAGCTAAATTTCTTAATATAGAATTAATTTAAAAGGTTAAAAAATATTATATAATGTTAATTTATATTAATTTTTAAATATAGTTTAAGTTAATTGAGCGCTCAACAAGCTTACAAGCCAAGCCAATCTCATATCAAGTTCAAGCTTGTTTAATATACAAATTGGAGTATATGCTCGAGCTCGAACTAGTGGCTCGATAAGCTCGACTCGCGGCCTGAGCCGTGGCTCGGTAGTTGATGAAGAAAAATTATTCTCGCGCGATCCGCATTTGATTCACGTAAATACTCAAAAAAAAAAAAAAAAAAACGCTCGACCCGTGGCTCGAAGCTAGCTGCAAGCTTATTTTTCACTCCCTACCTAACGGCATGATAATCTTAAGATCTCATACTTGATATTTAGGGAAATTTTGAGAAAATATTTGCACGAGGTGTTTTGAACTAGAAAATTTTAAGACAAAAAAACAAAACCTGGTGATCTTGACCAACATCAACCATCCACCATGTCCAGCTGCGGCCATCTTCAATCCGAGGTCCAGCAAAAGATGTATGCTGTTTTGTTACCAAGTAAATCATGTGTTTTAAGCTCAACCCTGATAATGTTTCTTAAATACTAAAAAAAACATACCTGGTAAAGCCTTGATACTAATGCCTTAGGATCAGTGTATCTGCAAGTAGGACTACTTGCAGTCACTGCAATTTTCTGAAATTTATGAAAAATAATTCAATGAAAAAAATTATTTCAAATGGTTTTCAATGAAGTCATGAAACCATGCAATGCTAGAGGGTTTACCTTGGACAGAACAGGATTTATCCATTGATGTTCCCCATATGATGTCCCAGAAAAGTATATAACTCCATTATTATCGCCATCACACATATACTGGAGCTCTTTGAAACTTGAGCGCCTATGCTGACACCTTAGACTACGGGGATTGCTCTATGTTAGTGGCCTACATTACTTCAAAAGAGGGAGGAAATATTAAATAACAAAATGATAATTTCCAAAGATATCTTACTTTTGATCTTTTCCTATCAATTTCGATCCTGCACTACAATGCTGAACAGCTTCTTTCACCTGACCCATCATGTCAAATGTTGCTCATTGAGAAAAGTTTTGAAGACACTACGATAGGAAAGTGAGAGGGAGTATAGAGAAAGGTAGAGGACTACAAATAACAAGCCAATGATACTTACAAGTTGGCCAAATATTAATATATGATCGCCCAGTTTGCTCTTCTCCAGCTGCAGAATTTTTTAAAGGAAATCAAAGGTTAATACTATAAATAGTTTAAACTTGGAAATATATGAAGCTAACTGAGATGCATACTCTATGAGAAATACCTTCTCAAGTAAATGGGATGGCATTAAAGGAAACCTTACAAGAGGCAATAGATTGTCAAATGATGGAAGCCGGTTTCCAAAAAGCTCTTCTGGTGTCAAAGAATTCAAAAGTTCATCCACTGCAAGCCAACCACAAATTTCAGAGGCTTGCATGGACCACATTAAAATTGCGTCTAGAACTTTCTCTTCAGATGTTACAGTCATATCTACATGCTGCAAAGCCCATCACTAGCATTATCATATGTTTTGATCTTGAAGCACAAATCATCTCAGAATAAGCAATCAATATCACGAGAGATTATTACGTGCGGCGTCCGAACCGTCCGGAGACGAATCCGGCATGTCACGTCACCCGGATGCACCAGGCTCCGGTGATGTGGCACGCCGCACGTAATAATATTTCCAATATCACAGCCTCATATAGATAATCATGATCAAATTAAATAAAAATTAGTGTAAATTAATTTAAAAAAAAAAAAAAAAGAACTCTTCCATTGACATGGAAAAAATTTGAGCCTTCTGATTGATCACAATAAAACTAGATTACAAACGTATTTGATTAGTCTTTCAAATAAGAATCTTCCCGGAAATTGTACCATATATTGGATTTTTCAAGGAGAAAAACCTCAACATACGTCCAATATCATTTGGTATATATAAGATTAACAGCTTGGTTAAAAGCATGATACTCTTATTCTTAGATTTTGGCCTTATCTTAAAATTTTTATATTATAAACGTGGTGTGACCAAGCAATAAGGTTTCCTTATAAGATATTTACCTGAAGGATGTCCCTGAAAGTAGCCTCATCTAACTGGACAAAGTCGGTACTCGCAGTGGTGCAATAATCAAAATGCATTGAAATTTTCCTCTTGCATGTTTCTTCAACCACTTTACAAGAAGGAAGTGATGCAATTGCAACTAAAATGGGACAGACAGTATCCTGCAACAAATTGTGAGATGTTAGCGTCAAGACACTTAGCAACTTCTTCAAAATCTTCTGAGGCCTTGTCCATAAAATTTGCAAAATACAACTAAGTCTTGATGGATGATCTTCTTCCAGGATGACAACACCAACCCTGCATGTATATGCACATGAAATATATTAATATCTTGTATTCTTCACCGTGGATATACTTATTCAAATGGGCCCATAAGCAATCCTCAATCACCAACTTGATTGTGCCTATAAGGTGCAAATAATTATGATATAAATCACAGCCGAAAGATGACATACATTCCCTTGGTCTCCCCCAACCCACAATGGTTTTGAACTAGTCGAATGCAGCTACTCGAACAAATCATCACAGATGATGAAAATTCTTGAATGAAAATAATAGATTTGAGTTACAGTAAAGAAGTCAAAGAAAAAAAGTTAAAATACAATATATTGTAGAAGCTATGCCATTTGAATATGCTATCCAATAACACAAACTCAAGCTTAAAACATGAATAGCATTGTGCTCTTGATCCATCAGATTTCAGGATATAAACACAAGGACAATGGTATAATATATATATATATATATATAATGTAAAATACCGTTTTAAAAAATTGAACTGAGTAGTGTCCTTTAAACTGAATTGACTTTAATTGGTTCTGCATGTTAAAGTCGCAATAGGAGCAGAAGGGATGAAAAAGAGCGAGACAATGTGCAGGAGAGTGAGAGTTGGAGAGGTAGTGTTATGTGTGAAATCTGATTGTGTTGATCAATCTGATTATTATGTTTTCTCAGACCTTAAAGTTTGTCGTATTTGCCAAGGGGTGCGGGGGGTTTACCCCCTACTTGGGTTTGTGTGCTTTGCTCTAGAAATTTTTTCCCAATACAACGTCCTGGTGCTACAAACTCGAGCCCCTCGACGTTGTGTTTCCTAATGCCCCAATGCTGCATGACAGAGAGCAGAGTGCCACATTGGTATAGATACGGCACTACAACGATGCAAGACAAAGGCATGAATGCCACAGCGCCCCAAATTGGCGCCTCAGCGTTGCAAGACAAATTGGACGATTTTTTTTTTCACATTTTTTCTGAAGGGTTGCGTCCCTTAGGGTTATTTTACTTGTCTTTCTCTTGTATTTTGATATATAGACATTGAGAACGGTGCATGCGAAAAAAGAAGTAAGGAGAGTGAGAGAGAAAAGAGATCTATACTTATTTCTCCCAATTTTCATAGTAGATTTCTTGGTGTGTTGTGGCACCATGATTTTTTCCATTTTTTAGATTTTTCCACATTAAATCATGGTATTCTTTACTTTTCCACAGCCTTTTATTTTCTTGCTTGTTTCTTCATTGTGGTGTATACTCCTACTCATCATCCCCAACGGGGTAGAAAAGGAAATTGAGAGGGAGAGAGAAAAATAGTGAGGGAGCACGCGAATAAGTGCCAAATTGAGCGGGTGTGATAGAGAGGAAGAAAACGTGAGCGAAAAAGGCCAAAGCAACCAAGATATAAAAAGCGAGCAAGCGAATAGAAATGAGTGTGTGAGAGATAGAACATGAGCAAGTAAAGGTGAGCGAGCAAGTGAGCAAGATTGTCGGGTCTGCTAAAAGACTCCCCAAGTCGTTCATGGGTAAGATGTTGAATGCTAAACTTCTGAAAAAATTAGTATTGAATGTTCGAATGGCAATGTGTGTGATCATTTATATCTAAATATTATTCTTAATGAAGTTTGTGTTGCAAATTAAAGGACAAGTAAATTATTGCTGAGATATTAGTCTCATTTCTTAAGTATTTGCAACTTAGTAACATGTGAATGAAAGAAAAATATCATTAAATAATGAGACAAAAAATTGTAGTAGAAGGAAATATTCAAGTTTTAATTAATATAGACAAATTATTTTAAAAAATAAATGTTATTTTAAAAAATGATTTAAAGGTCAATAATTCAATTGCAAGCATTCAATTAAATTTCAAGCATTAGTTACAATTTGTATATTTGAATAAGCATTAAAACTACTTTAAAGTTAAAATTATGCTCTTGAATGAAAGAGAAATATTATTAATTAATGATATCAATTTTAGTTTAAAAAAGAAATATATATAATATAATTAAGAGTATTTAATGTGAATTTTCTTAGGTGGTACGATTATATGTATTCAACTAAGGTAGAGTTTAGAGATTGAGGAAAAGCAAGTTGTTTAAGGTTAAGGTGAGCACTAATGTTTCAAACTTATGATAATAATATTGCTCTTTCTAAACCAAATGCATTAAATGATATCAATATTTATGCAATTAACTTTTACTGGAAATTCAATCATGATTGCCACATGTTGTTAAGATTGCTTATGAAATAATAATTTTGAAAATGTACTACAACTGTTCAAAGCTAACCTATTGGTTTGTTTAAAATACTATCAATAAATAAACATATGTTACCTTGTTGCTCTTCTACTTCTCCATATATACAAAAAAAATATTTAAACTATGAAGAGAGATGAATTATAAAACAACCTCCAGTAAACATGGAAAAAATGGAATTACCTCTGATATACATTCCAAAAGGCATTTACAACATTCTTGTTGGAGGAATATGATCTCAAATTGGTCAGCTAACAGGATTAATGGAATTAACAAAGAATCCATCTTATCCTTCTCGATCTCAAGTTCTCCACTGTACATGAAGTGTAGCATAGCTGAAAAGGCTTCTGAAGACACATCTCTAAACGTAACATCTGCAGATTTGCTCTCAACCATTCCACCTGTAAACATCTGGATTTAAGGAAAACAAGTAAGAGCATTAATGGATTTCAAGAAAACAAGAGGGAGTGAGCATATATGACAGGATTTGGCCTAGTCAGTTGCAGATAACAAACATTCCTGCGATAAGACTGCACTTAAGGATAAAGGATATATATATTGCATACAAATTATTTAAAAAAAAAAAGACAAAATCAAATGCAGTTGAGCAAGTCAACAACATACAAACTTTAATTGGAAAAAATAGACAAACCTTTGCAAACGGAGTGCTCCACATACTAAGAATCAGTTTGTGCGACCGAGCAACAAGACCATGTCCTTCAACATAAATGTTTACATCGCTATGCTCGCCATTTGAGAGGAATCGCTTAAGCTTACCTACGACAGCAGGCTCTTCAAGTGGGAAGAGGCCAGACTGCTGAACTTCACAAGTACTACTCAATATTTCTACTTTCATGCCAGAATCAAACAATTTCCTTTCAGTCTTAAAACGGTCAGAAATTTCATTGCATCGTTTAATCAACGAGAGAACCTGAAACTGCACACTCAGATCCCGCAGAGAATCAAATTGTGACTCCACAACCTGAATAAGAATACAAGAAAATGAAATTTCTCCTATGATAAAGTTCTATTTCCAACAAAATTTTATTGGTATATTGAGCATACTAGCACTTTTACTCACCTTGGTCTGACCACTATAAATATATTCCAAAAGTGCATGGAGGACTGGATATGTTGTTGCAGGAAGGTTAATGACATTCTCACTAGAAGAATTGGTAGAGAAGTCACCATATGCATTCAAAATAACTTTATGAGCGGGAACAATCTTTCTTTCAGCACCAACAATAAACATTACATCAGAAAAGTCCCAGCTCTCCAAAAAATTCGGAAGTTCCCATTTACCAAGTCCATCATTATTAATGTCAAGGATTGCAAACTCCTTACCACTCTCAACTTGATACTCTTTGCAGCCAACTTGGCTCCAAAGACTAGTGTGATGTTGAGTCAAGGGCAATATAGTGATATTTTTATATCCTACATGCTTGTCCCAACTGCTTAATCCAATATACTGAACACTAAAGTTTGGCTTTGAATCAAGCCACTGACCAACCATGTTCTGGAATGGATATCTCCCTTCGCCGATACTGATCAGTCCATCATATATACTGATCCAGTAGCTCTGAAATGATGAAGAACAACACAAACCAACACCAGCAATGTCAACAACGGTCTGACCATTCACTTCAATTTTCAACCTGCGATTGCGATGACTACCCAATATGATAGTGTAATTGGGGCTATTATCCATCTTGTAATGGTAATTATGGCTTCCAACTTGCTCCCTAAACACCAAAGTGACATCATTTTGAGCAAAAGCTTCAAATGCAATACATCCACGCCCTGCCTCCCTGAATCTTAAATCCTCATTCCATGTACATTTAAAAGGTGCAACGGTAAGAAATCTCTGCTTTTTCTCACTCATTTCCTGAAGAACAAAGAGAAAGAAAATACAATAAGATTATTATCATGCTTATTAAAAAAAGATTGATAATTCAAGCTTAATCGTCTGATGATAAAGTTAATCAAACAACCATAAATCAGATAGAAACATTAAATCTGCTTAGAGACAGATTACTCGCCCAAAAAAAATTCCTTTTGTGAAAATAGAGCTGTATCTACACTCAGAGTTGTCATGAAAAAAGAAAAAAAGAGCAAAAGATTAGAAACATACATGCAAATGATGCAACCGATATGATACTAGCTATTGTTTAGCACGTCTGAATCTCTGAAAGAAGATGCAAGATAATCAAAGGGAGAACAGATCTAACAAAACCAATAACCTATATCCTATCTTGAGAAACACATTAAATAAAATATCTGATGAAACCACCCAACTTGCCCGAATAAAATATATCCATTTAGCCAAGCACCACATAATTGTTATTTTCATTCTTTAATAAATACTCTCAAAAGAAGATATGGATAAACACCAATTTCCAGGCAAGTGGGGTCATAGAAAAAAAAAAAACAAGCCAGCTATCCTTTTTTTTCTTTTTTTTTTTTCATTTAAAACCCCCCAGAAACAGTATTACCGCCAATTCAGGGTAAGAAACATAGCAGCCTTGTACAAATCCTCCATTAGCTCTTTCTTCTCTCGTCTGCTTTCTCATATTCTTCAAGAATTTATTTACTCCAATTCTTTGAATTCAAATTAAGATGGTAGACTTCGAGAGCAAGACCAGCTCATATAACCTTTATTAATTCGAATGAAGTAAAACCTCGATCCCAACAACTATCTAAACAGGAAAAATAGTAGATAATAGAAGAGCAAATAGAGATATAGCCAGCTCATAAGCCTCACTCCCCCCAGTCAAGAAAACCATACTTCCTTTGGCCAACAAAAAAAAAGGAACTTCAGAAAGGGCAATCTGCAAGAGGAAAATCTATAAAAGAAATGAATGAAATTTACCTCAGGGGTCGAATTCTCCTCAGATTTCGCATTGAAAAGACGAACTGGAAGAAGCCGATTGAGTTTGAAGAGAAACGGATGGAACAAATTGAAAGCTTTAGCTTTTTCCGCGATTCAATCTTATCACGACTGTTTCATCTCATCTATCCGTCTCTGTGGGATTGTTTTGGTTGCCGCTAGTTGCTAGCTGCAGCTTCGGCGCGTAGCAGTGGTGGCAAGTTGTACTTTTTTAGAATAACTACGTTGTTTTGGATAGATTTGTACTGGAAAATGTGATTGCCATCGGTAAGGCTTGTTTTAGGATAACTACGTTGCGTGTAAATCCCTTCGACTGTGGAGTCCACCATTGAATCGCGGTTAGGTACTCTAATTTGCAAGCTGGCTGTCAGGAAAGATAAAAAAAATCGTACCTTTTGGGAGTCCTTGCGTAGTAAGGCTTTCATGGCGTTGAGTTACTGTGGAATACGATGCACTCTTAAGTTTTATCTCATCCATTCATTTCTGTGGGAGAGCTTGTTTGAGTAAATTTTTACTATAAAAAGTTTTTATTTAAAAATATTTTATATTAAAAAATTATTTTAAAAATACAAAAAAAAATTATTTCAAATGAAATCTTAATGGTCATAGTTTTCATCCATGAATTCATGTTATGATGGTTGAGTTAAGTGCATAAAGATGGTACCTTTTATTCAATTATTATTAGATTTTTTTTTTCTAAGCTTTTGGTCTGGGCAACTCGATTAGGTTAACCTAAGTGTCGATTTTTTATGTTATTTTTTGATAGGGATGAGAAACCGTTTAGAGCATTTGGAGATAAAGGTTAGATTCTCAAACTTTGATTTATAAATAAATGACATTTCTCTTCATTTTTTTTTTTACTTTTTTAATTTAGAGAAAGATAATATTTATTGACTATTTTATAATTCATATCACTATTAAGAATGATAAGTCATCACAAATTTATGTTGATTGGGCACGAATCTCAAGGCAAAAATCTAGTTGGAAACTTCAAAAATTAAATCCGGAAGCACCCGAACTCTAATTTCAGCGAGCTTACAGTCAAACGGAGCGTCCCGGAAATACGAACCCAACGGCACCAAATTCAACCCAATCCGAGCCCAAATGGGTCCACATCAAGGACCCGAAGCGCTATTGGAAAGTTCAAACCACAATTTGAGTTACCAAACGGTCTCCGATTTTAACGAGCTTATACTCGAATTGAACGGCTCGACGAGACGAATCCAATGAGCCCAAGATTTTCAAATTCCTACATCACTAAGGTCTTCAAATGTCCAACGAACGGTCCATGATCAAGAGATTCAATATGGGCCGTCCATTCAAACCACTCCCGATTCGCCCTTGATCTCTCATCTATTTACAGGCCATGCCACTCCCAAAAAAACTATAAATAGAGCCCTCATTCTACACAAAGGGGAGGGAAGTGAAGAGAGAGAAGAAGAAGGGAAGAAGAAGAGAAAGGGGAAAAGGAGAATCATCTCCTCCTCGACCATCGTCGGAGCTCTTCCCGCATCCTGAATACGCCGGAACTCTGCTGGATATTCGGGAGAACGCCAGAATTCTGCCCAACTTCCATGGGATGTAGAAATTTTTCTCAATTAAAGACAGAGTTCCCTCCTGACGCTGAAACTTGGCCCAAGTGATGCCGGAGTTCTCCTTGTCCACCAACAGACATCGGACTTCTACCCAACACCTGACCTTCACTCTTCGCCAAGTTTCTACCTGATGCTGGATTTCTACTGGTTATCGGACTTTCGCTGGATGTATATCCGAATATGGATTTCTTTCCATTGTTGGACTTCTGCCTGACACCGTCCTTCTGACCTTCATCGTTAGACACGGTCCTTCCAGCCTCCCTCGCAAGGCAACGGTCCTTCTGACTTACGTCTCCCACCAACTACAGTCTTTCCGACCTCCGTTGCCCGGCGACTAGGTCCTCCTGACTTATGTCGCCCATCGACTACAATCTTTCCGACCTCTGTTGCCCGCCAACTACAGTCTTTCCTACCTCTGTCGCCCACCGACTACAGTCCTTCCGACCTCCGTTGCCAACCGACTACGGTCCTCCTAACCTACGTCGCCCACCAACTACAAGCCTTCCGACCTCCTTCGCCCGCCGACTACGGTCCTCCCGACCAAACGAACATGTCAATAGTGATTCTTTGTATCCATATCATGTAATGTACTCTATAAAATGTACATCAAGCTAAGGCCTTCTCCCAAGGAAGGGCCTCATTTGTAATCGACTGCAATACTAGTTGATTCATTCAAACTGGGCTAGGCCCCGTGGTTTTTTCCCCTTTTCAGGGATTTTCCACATAAAAATCTTGGTGTCTCATAATTGCTAGACCAACTCTCTTTATTTGATTGCGTGCCAGATTTTTGTACAACGCTAAGACGTTAAATCTTATATTTCTCTACCGACGCAAATACTCCTGGACGCAACAATGTCCAATCAATCATCATTAGTGTTCCTCTTATTCAACTTCGCTTGCCCCCATATCAAAGGAAAATGGTCACAAAGGCTATCATGGGATGACTAATTGTCTAATGATTATGTACATTGACCCATAATAGTAGACATTCAACGATCAATATTGCCTAATTTATGCATGCAATTTATTATGAAACTCTAATGTCTATGCTAAACCGACTAGTCACCCCAATGCCATGACCACATCTTGCTAATCTTTTATGGCAAATTATTACGTCCAGCGTCCGGACGCGGAGATAGGTCCGGACATCCAATAAAAACTTGCCACGTCACCTGCGCTTTTGAATGTGCTTTGCATGCGCTTTACCTACGCTTTTGATCTGCTTAATTTAAAGTAATATTTTATTAATATCTGAACCTATCTCCGCATCCGGTGACCGGACCTTTTATTGACCCCTTTTGTGAGATTTTGTTTCCTTTACTGTTCCTCTCTCTGAATTGGATTTTCCTCCCAGGATCGGCCGGGACGATATTGAGATCGTTCAGGCCGATCAGTGCATTGAAAACGGCTGATTTCTGGGAGATGATTTCTGGACTGGATCGTCCAGGCCAATTTTGGATCGGCCGAGGACGATCAGATAAGACAAAAATCCCGAGAGCAAAATCGAAATTATCGTCCTGAGGATCGCCCTAGGAATCGTCCGGGATGATGGGTTTTTGGTCTAATCGGCCAGGACGATGTGTCGATCGACCGGGCCGATCAGCCTTATGATATATGGAAAACAGCTCGTTTTGAGGAGAGAGAAAATCATTTTTATCAAAATATCTGATTTTGAAGAGAGAGAAAGAGAAAGTAAAAGAGAAGAAAAGCTTGGTTTCGGAGGCTGCGGAGCTCTTTTCGTCCGACGCCGCTGTAGGAAAAAGTGAAGATCTCGCGGTAAGAACTCTGAATCCTATTTCTGTTTTCAGAGATATTTATTTTTGATCGAGTTGTGCATTGTTTTGTATTTTCGTAGTCGAATTTTGGACCCGGTTTTTTATTGACACAACTTTCACCGCACAACTTTTAGAATGTTATAGATATGAATATTGTACACGATTTGAGTATTTTCTACGATGATTTTACCGG